GTTCTGGAAAGACCTAACTTCCCTGGCTCCTGGTCCCCTCCTGGGGAGATGGCCATGATGCGAATGCCTGTCCCACAGGGTCGCTGTGTCAGCTGAGTGAGGAATCGGGGAGCTCCGGTCCCTGCTTCTGTGGGTGCGGGCTGTGGGGGCTGCACTGCCCCCTTTGGGGTGAGGATGCCACTGCTCAAAGAGACAAGTGACCTGCTCAGGGTTTCAGTCCAGTGAGTGGCCAGGCTGGCTCCGCCCCGGGAGTCCTGGGCCCCACCCAGTGCCCCGGCTCTTCCCTCCCCCCTCCGCAGCCCCCCATAAAAAAGTGGATTGAATTGTGCCCCCCCTAAAACTCATGTGTGGAAATCCTACCCCCAGTGTGTTTGCAGCTAGGTCTCTAGGGGGTCATTAGGGTTGAATGAGGTCACAAAGCTGGGGCCCGGACTCACTGGACTAGGGAAGAGGCTCTCTCCCCTGCCTGCCCCCCCCCCCACCATGCACCGCCGAGGAAAGGCCCCCAGGGCCCCAGCGAGATGCTGGCCACCCACGAGCCAAAAGAAGGGACCTCAGAAGGAAACCTTCCTGTTCACAGCTTGACCTTGACCTTGACCTCCAGCCTCCAGCACTGTGAGAAGCACATCTGGCATCCTGGTCACCTGGCCTCTGGGTTTCCTATGGCGGCCCCTGCAGATGAATGTGCTCTGGCTGTGTCCCTCCTCTGTCCACCCTTCCTCCCCAACCCTCCCTGACGTTCCCGGAGCACTGCCGCCATCTGCTGGTCCGTCTCGGGATAGCAGGCAAGACCCAGGCCTCAGAGGCTCCACTTGCTCCAAAGCCAGGGGGGTCCCCTCCTCAGCCAGCACTGCCCCCCCCACACCCCCACCCCCACCCACACCCACACCCCCACCCCCACCCACACCCCCACCTACACCCCCACCCACACACTCCCCAGCCAGGTGGACAGCCTCTGAGGCAGTGGTTCTCCACCTTCTGGCCCTTTAAATACAGTTCCTCATGCTGTGACCCAACCATAACATTATTTTCGTTGCTACGTCATCACTGTCATGTTGCTGCTGTGATGAATCGTCATGTAAATATCTGATCTGCAGGACGGTCTTAGGCGACCCCTGTGAAAGGGCCGTTCGACCGCCAAAGGGGTCGAGACCCACAGGTTGGGAACCGCTGCTCTGAGGGGCAGCCGCGAATCCCTCCCTCGGACCTGGCTATGAGCTCCTCACATCGGGGCCACAGCCGACCTGCTTCTCTCCTGATATCTGTCTTATTGTCGATGTCAGAGCGGCAGGGCGAGGGAGAAGGCGAGAGAAACATCCATGAGGAGAGAGAATCATGGATCGGCTGCCTCCTGCTCGCCCCACTGGGGATCAAGCCCACAGCCCGGGCACGTGCCCTGACTGGGAATGGAACCGTGACCTCCTGGTTCCTAGGTGGACGCTCAACCACGGAGCCACGGCGGCCGGGCCAGGAGTGGTTATTAGTCCCAGAGAGTTCATCACCCAGGAGAGGAAACAGGCGGACAGCTTACACATGACGGGCAGTGAGTGGCAGGGCGGGGCTCACGGCGGCCCCTGTCCACGGTGCCACACTGCCCTGAACGAAGAGGGTGTGTCCTCCCAGGGCTCTGCGACCCCCTCCCCATGGCCGACGTCCCAGCAGGCCTCCCGCCTGGCGGTTCCCACAGCCCCACCTGGGGCCATGATGTCCGCGTCCTCACCTCCACCTGCTTCCCTCTCACTCTTTCTCCTGGAGCTCCAGACGGGCAGCAGCTGGGAGCGCCCTGCAAGTCGCTGGCGCTGGGCGGGGGCGCCGGCCTCCTGCCTGCTGGCCGGCCCCTGGGAGGGAGGGCAGCCTCGGAGCTGCTGAGCGACTTCGAGCGGAGATGCCCACGGCCACCGCGCTGGCATGAGTCACCGCGGGCGGGAGCCTTTATTTTGAATTTTTGTTCATCCTCACCCGAGGAGACTTTCCCATTGATTTTTAAAGAGAGGGAAAGACAGAGAGAAACATCGATGTGAGAGCAACACATCGATTGGTTGCCTCCTGCACGCGCCCCAACCAGGGCCCGCGCTGGGGAGGAGCCTGCGACCTTGACCAGAATCGAACCTGAGACCCCTCTGTCCGCAGGACAACGCTCTATCCACTGAGCCACACCGGTGAGGGCGTGGTCAGAGCTTTTAATTAACTGCCAGCCCTGCACGGGCAGCTGCTCCACAGCCCCGTCTGATCGCGACTCCCCCGGTCGGCCGACGGAGCGCGGGACCACGCACCTCGCGCTGGGGTGTGTCGATGCTGCCGGAGTGGAGGCTGCCGACCTGGGAAGGAGAGCGGGAGGCAGCTGTCCGTCGGGGGGCCCGCAGGCCAGCGAGGGTGAGGAGGAAGCCTGCGCAGGGGGTGTGTGCGCTGAGTGGCGTGTGAGTATCTGCGTATCAGAACTAACGCAACTCAAACGAGGGTGAGGCCCGGCCGGCGGGGCTCCGTGGTTGAGCATTGACCTATGCACCAGGAGGTCACGGTTCGATTCTGGTCAGGGCACAGGCCCGGGTTATGGGCTCCATCCCCACTAGGGGGCGTGCAGGAGGCATCCGGTCCATGATTCTCTCTCATCATGGATGTGTCTCTCTCCCTCTCCCTTCCTCTCTGAAATCAATAAAAACATATTTTTAAAAAACTAGTGCAAGGAGTGGAGACACCTGTAGGAGCCACTGGGAGTCTGAGACTCGGGAGCTGCTGGATCCAGGGGTAGGAATGGCATCCCCGGGGCAGCCCCCGAGCCACCGGAGAACAGCGCTCGCACCCCGATGCACCAGTTACTGCGAGGGGCTTACGTGAGGCCTGGATGAGACAGCGAGGTCGTCACCACACACACGGCGAGTCCCCTTGCTTCTCTCTCGCTCCCTGACTTCCTCCCGCCTCCAGATGACCCAGGGTCGCCTTCCAGTCCTGCCTCGCCGCGTGTCACCTTAACCACGTGGCCGCCTTACGTAATGGGACAGGATTTCCCAGCGTCGGCGCCCTCGGGGGCTGGGCGTCTCGGATCCTGGGGCTCCCAGCCTGTGAAATGGGGTAAGAACCCCTCCTTTCCCAGCTCAGAGAGAGGAGCTAACCTTGTCGTCATGCTTTGTAAGGTGGTTAGAATGATTGCTCAGTCCGGGGGCTGCAAACTCAACTGTCTTCAGGGGCGAGCAGGTGGCGGAGTCGGTGAAGAGGGCCAGGCCTGGGCCGAGGCAGCAGATGGCACACAGGCCTCACCTCCCAGGGCAGGTCTAGCCCAGTCGTACCCGGTCGTTTGTTTATTAAACAATTCTGAACTCGGGATTTTGTTTTTATATTTTTACTAGAGGCCCGGTGCACAAAATTCATGCACGGGCAGGGTCCCTAGGCCTGACTGACAGTCAGGGCCAATCAGGGACTTCTGGCTGCCGGCCAGGGTCTTCCTTCATTCCACGCTGCCCCCTGGTGGTCAGCACATGTCATAGCGAGCAATCAAACTCCCGGTCTCCTGGTCGAACTCCTGAGGGGACCTTTTCATGTTAGCCTTTTATATATATAGATTGATTTCAGAGAGGAAGGGAGAGGGAGAGAGAGATAGAAACATCAGTGATGAGAGAGAATCATCTATTGGCTGCCTCTTGCACCGTCCCCCTCCCCCAGCCTGCAACCCGGGCCTGTGTCCTGACCTGGAATCAAACTGTGACCTCTTGGTTCATAGGCCATTACTCAACCACTGAGCCACGCCGGCCGGGCTGAACTCTGGATTTTTAAAAAATGAAGAGCCCTCGTTTCTTAAACACTTTGCAGGCTGCGTAAAATAACACCCGTGGGCAAACACCACCTGCCCCGGTTTGCAGCCCCCAAAGGAGTCCCAGTCACTGACGAGTTGAAACGCGAGACTGAGAGGCAGAGCAAGGCCAAGGTGCGGGGGTCACAGCCCAGGAAGCAGGGCCAGGGGTCTCGTCCAGGCCTCTGGCCTCGAGCCTCTTGGTTCAGAGGGCCCCGCAGAGCAGGAGGAAGGAAGAGACCGCAGGCTCTGAATAGGCGAGTCCCAGCCCCTCGATCCCGGGGCCTGATCGAGGCGTTGGCTGGGAGCGCCTGGAACACGAGGCAGACACCGCGCCCGACGCCCTGCCTGCGGGACGGGGCCCGTGCGGCGGCTCTGTGGGCCACGGACCCGCCACGGGGACGCCGTCCTCGCTAATAAGGGGATATATATATTTTAAACGGCCCTTGAGGACTGCAGTGCCCCCGAGTATGAAAATCCCAGAAAGGAGGACAGAGTGAAAAAGACAGGTCGCCACGGAGGGGACCGAACCGCGAGGCCCCCCTGGAAAATCCCCATGGATCCCCCGCCAGGGCACGTGGCCTGGTTCCTTCAATACGAGTTAAAAAAGAGAAAAACAGCCTGACCGTGCCACGCCCCCCTCCCTGTTTGAATTCCTTTGCTGTTTCCCGCTGGCTTCCCCTTCCTTCCGGTTCAAGGTGACACGTGAGTTCCAAGTCCCGTCTGATCCGGCCACGGCCACGGCCCACCTCTCCGGCTCCGTTCCTCACTAGCCACCTGGCCTTCCGCCGTCCGGCACGTGTGCCCGCGTCCATCCTGCCGCAGGGCCTTTGCACGCACTGCCTTCCTCCATCAGGGCCAGAGCCCTGTGGGGCCACCTCGCTCTTCAGCTCCCAGCTCAGGTGTGAGCCGCCCGCCAGCCCACCTCGTCTCGTCCTCCTGTCACCGGCTCACAGAGGTCAACATGCCTTCCCTTCATGCCACTGGCTCCTCTCCACTCACCACTGTGGCCTCAGAGAGTCATTATTTGACAGCCGAGGGTGACCTCACAATCCCCCTCCAGGCCTCCCACCCTTCAGATCACTATGCCAGCTGCCAGGCCCTAACTCTGCCCTCTCTGTTCACACCTGGAGGCAGACCCACCTTTGGAGCCACCCAGGCCCGCCGCCAGGGACAGAGGGCTCCCCAGGGTGAGCCTGTGCCACCTTCTGCCCCGATGCAGAAACCCGGCTCCATCATGCCGGACAAGCCCGCGGACCGCAAGGACTCCATGCCCACGGAGAGGAAGTCCATGTGGAGGACGGCCGACGAGAGGCGCATGTCCGACCTCACGCGGGTGATGGAGTGGCTGGAGCGGAGGCGGGCGAAGAAGCTGTCGCTGGTGCAGCCACAGCCGCAGCCGCAGCCGCAGCCACAGGCCCAGCCTCAGCCGCCGCCGCCCAAGGTGCTGGTTCCAGACTGTCCCCGAGGGGGGAGACGGAACGGGCCCCGGAGGGGAAAAGGCCGGAGGAGCTTTAAGCTTGGCGGGGGGGGGGGGGGGGGGGGGGGGGGGAGTACTGGCGACATCAGAGCGGCCCGGTCCGGAGCGGGCCCTGTGGACCCTGCCGCCCTGTGGCTGCTTCTGCGCTGGGCTCGCCCGCCCGCAGGGACGGAGGCCGGACGGGGGCGCGCTCTGTCGGGGTGCGTTCGCCTCCAAGGCTTAGACAAGGGAGGGAGCGGGAGGGCCCTCGGTCAGTGTTGGAGGAGGTTTGGGGGACGGGAGGGGTCAGGCGCTGACGTCCCTCACCACAGAGGGGCCGAGGGCGGCCGGAGCCCAGGGGGGCACGGGCCCAGCTCTGCTCTCTCTGCCTCTCAGAAACGCACCAAGGGACCCTGGGTGCCCCGGAAAGCAGCGGGGAAGGAGGCGAAGAAAGTCAAAGTCACCTTGCAAACCGAGAGAGAGAAAAGCCGCCAAGTGACATTCTCTGAGCAGGTGTCACAGCCCCACCCCCCCACCCCCACCCCCCTCACCCCATCCCCACCCCACCCCCACCCTCACCACCACCCCATCCCCACCCCATCCCCACCCCATCCCCACCCCCACCCTCACCACCACCCCCATCCCCACCCCCATCCCACCCCACCCCACCCCACCACCACCCCCACCCACCACCCCCACCCCATCCCCACCCCACCCCCCCCCTCACCACCACCCCCACCCCCACCCCCACCCTCACCCTCACCACCACCACCACCCCCACCCCCCATCCCCACGCCATCCCCACCCCATCCCCACCCCCACCCTCACCACCACCCCCACCCCCACCCCCCCCCCCCCACCCCACCCCCACCCCCACCCCCACCCTCACCACCACCCCCACCCCCACCCCCACCCTCACCCTCACCACCACCCCCACCCCCACCACCACCACCACCCCACCCCATCCCCACCCCCACCCCCACCCTCACCCCATCCCCACCCTCACCACCACCCCACCTCATCCCCACCCTCACCACCACCACCACCCCCACCCCCCCACCCCCACCCCACCCCCACCCCCACCCCCACCCCCACCACCACCCCCACCCCCACCCCCACCCTCACCCTCACCACCACCCCATCCCCCACCACCACCACCACCCCACCCCATCCCCACCCCCACCCCCACCCTCACCCCATCCCCACCCTCACCACCACCCCACCCCATCCCCACCCTCACCACCACCCCCACCCCATCCCCACCCTCACCACCACCCCCACCCCCACCCTCACCACCACCCCCACCCCCACCCCCACCCTCACCCTCACCACCACCCCATCCCCCCCCACCACCCCCACCCCACCCCCACCACCACCCCCACCCCACCCCCACCCCCACCACCACCCCCACCCCCACCCCCACCCTCACCCCCACCACCACCCCATCCCCCACCACCACCACCACCCCATCCCCACCACCACCACCACCCCCACCACCACCACCCCATCCCCACCCCATCCCCACCCCCACCCTCACCACCATCCCCACCACTACCCCCACCCCCCCCACCACCACCCGGAGCCCTGGCCCCAGTGTGCAGCTGTTCTCCCTTCCCCTCCAAGGGCAAGCCGGGGGGCCGGAGGGACGCGGACCCGGCCACCTTCCGCAGGCTCTACGGGACAGACCAGAAGGGGAAGCGCCAGAGCGTCGTCCCCGGCAACTACAGCAAGGAGAGCATCGGCAAATCCGGTGAGAGGGCCCCCACACCCCGAACTCCACTGACCAACCTGCCGCGCCCCCTACACCCCGAACTCCACTGACCAAACCTGCCGCGCCCCCTACACCCCGAACTCCACTGACCAAACCTGACCCGCCCATGGGGCGGGCAATCGACTCACCAAGAACCCAGGGCCTCGGCCTGGCCTGGCGACAAGAGAGGCCCGGCCCAGCGTCCTCCCCAGCCGTCACCCTCAGCGAGTGGGGTGTCTGCAGAGGCAGGGACGCACCCCTTTCCCGCTCTCAGCCACGCACCCCTTCCCCGCTCTCAGCCACGCGCCCCTCCCCGCGGGAAGCTCGGCAGGAGAGAGCTGAGCCCTGGGCGGGCGGCTCAGGGGTGACAGCGTCGGCCCTCGGACCCAAGAGTCTCGGATTCGAGTCTGGGTCCAGGCCTCGTGCCTCGGCTGTGGGCTCGCTCCCTGCCCCGATCAGGCACGGGCAGGGCAATCAGTTGTTGTGTCTCTGACATCACGCTCTTCTCTCCCCCCGCCCCCCCCCCGTCCACCTCCGTCCTCCTCCCTCCCTTTCTCTCTCTCTAAAAAATCAATGGAAAACATATACTCGGGTGAGGATTTAAAAAAATACAATGAAATCATATCAAAATAGAGGAGCGCTGAGGTGCCAAGTGGGGAGAGAACTGGTTTAAAATAAAATCCTAGACACACACTGAACCCAGGTAGCACAGGGACACTGGGGACCAGGAAGGACACGCAAAGGAATAAGAAATGCAAGCCCTGACCGGTGTGGCTCAGTGGATAGAGCGCCGGCCTGCGGACTGAAGTGTCCCAGGTTCGATTCCGGTTAAGGGCATGTACCTTGGTTGCGGGCACATCCCCAGTGGGAGATGTGCAGGAGGCAGCTGATCGATGTTTCTCTCTCATCGATGTTTCCAACTCTCTGTCCCTCTCCCTTCCTCTCTGTAAAAAATCAATAAAATATATTTTTTAAAAAAGAAATGCAAACAGACGAGGTGAAATGAAGGCCAAAGTCAACACGTGGACAAAAAGGGGTATTTTCCAACGTCCAGGAGCAGAAATAATACCCTTAAAACCTGCACAGCCCACAAGAAGAGCAGCTAGGTAGATGGACGTGTGAACTGCAGGAGGAATCCGATGAAAACACTCACGGTGTCCTGGGGAACTTGCTGACGGCACGTGTCGGGGTGACCCTGGGGAGCAAAGCGCTGCAGGCCCCGGGCGCACGCTTTCTCGCTAGCGAGGAGCCATAGGGCCCCGCCCCGCACCGGGTCTCCCGAGCCGTTAAAGAGCAAGTCACCCCAGCCTCCTTCGCGGGCTGCAGACCCCAGGAAGTAATTGGGGGGCTTCTGAGAGGGCGGAGGGAACAGGAGGCATAGCTGTCCCGGCAGTCACTTAACAAGCCCCCCTCGTCTTCACATGAACACGTGATGCAGAACGGAGGCCAACCCCACAATGACCCCGATGCAAAACGTGTAACAGCTTCCGGCAAATAGACTCAGCGTATGCCAACTCCTCCCCCATCTCGATGTTTGCAATGAATCGTACACCACACACAAGGGGGGTTCTTCTAGCAGCTTGGGAAGGGCTAGGGCAGTGGTCAGCAAACTGCGGCCCGCGAGCCACAGGCGGCTCTTTGGCCCCTTGAGTGTGGCTCTCCCACAAAATACCGACTTCTGCGCGTGGGCCACGAAGTTTCGATCGCACTGTACGTGCGCCCGCACGTGGTATTTTGTGGAAGAGCCACACTCAAGGGGCCAAAGAGCCGCATGTGGCTCGAGAGCCGCGGTTTGCCGACCACTGGGCTAGGGTATCCATAGCAACATATCTGCTAACATCACGGATGACCTCAGTAAGTGAAAGGGGAAGGGAGAGGGAGAGAGAGAAACATCAATGATGAGAGAGAATCATGGACCGGCTGCCTCCTGCGGGCCCCCTCCTGGGGATCGAGCCCACAACCTGGGCCTGTGCCCTGACCGGGAATCGAACCAGGAACTCCTGGTTTGTAGGTCGACGCTCAGCCACTGACGCCGCTGTCATTGTTGACACCGTTTGGGAGAGAGGGTCCAACGTCCATAAAATAGTGGAAGGAAGATCTTTTCATTTCCCCCTGATGTGATCGCATAGCGGCCGACCTCAAGAAAGTCTAGTCGAAAACTAACAAAAGTCGGTGTGCTTGTCGGTGGAATAGAAAAAAAATATATTTTAAAAAAGAATAGTCTTTTTTTCTGTATTAGTCACACCAGTTAGAAATGGAAATGGGAAGAAACTATTCCATCCCCTAAGTAAAAAAATCTGTAAGATATTTAGGAGCAAATTGAACAACAAATACAGACATACATACACACATACATACATACATACATACGGTCTCCAAGCTCTAACCCCAACACTATTTCATTCAGTGCAAATCCCTCATTTGGGCAACATCAGACACCAGTTCATGTGTTTCTACTTTCTGACATTGTGCACACGTGCTATTCCTCCCGCCCTCACCTGCCCCTCCTCCCGCCCTCACCTGCCCCTCCTCCCGCCCTCACCTGCCCCTCCTCCCCCCTTTGTGTCTATCTGTCCTTCCAAACCCCAGCTCAGTTGTCCTTCCTTGACCCTCCTCGGCTGATGTCCCTGCTAGGGAACACTCTCTGGGGGGGGGGGGGGAAGAGGATAAAGGAAAGAGGGGAGAGAAGGAGGGGGGCCGTCAGGGAGGGAGGAGGGAGGAGGGAGGAGGGAGGAGGGAGGAGGGAGGAGGAGGTGAGGGCTGAACCGGTGCTGAGGCGGCGGCCCTGCGAGGCCTGGGGAGGCATCCTGGGAAGTCCCCGCGGCCTTGCCCCCCCCCCCCCCCCCCGCTCCGGCTCCCCGTCCCCGTCCCCGCCGGGGGCCTGACTCCGGTGCCGGTGCCGGTCTCAGAGCTGGAGATGAAGGACTCGGCCGCCACGGAGTCCACGCCGCGGATGACATCCTTCCACCACCAGAGCATGACGGACTCCACGCTGCAGGACTCCATCTTCGGGGCACGCAAGTCCACGCTCCTGAGGGACTGGGTGGGCAAGCTGCCCGACACGGCCTACGAGCGCCGGCTGAAGAGCCTCATGGAGAAGGGCGCCGAGCCCAAGGTGGAGACGGTGAGGGCCCTGAAGCCCGAGGAGGTGCTGAGCTGCCGGTGAGCCCGCTCTGCCGCCCGCCGGCCCCCGTCCAGACCCTGGGCCGAGCCCGGGGACCGGGGAGGCGGGCTGGGTCTCAGAGGCCACCGGCCGGTGTCCCGTGTCCCGGGTGGACATGACCTTTTGTGGGGGAGGGGCAGGCAGGGGCGGTGCTGGGGTATATGTCGCCACATTGATTCCCAAACGACTTCATTACCCATAAACCCCTGACCCGGTGAGGGCTCAGTGGTTGAGCATCAACCTAGGAACCAGGAGGTCAGGGTTCGAATCCCCGTCAGGGCACAGGCCCGGGGTGTGGGCTCCATCCCCAGTGGGGGGCGTGCGGGAGGCAGCCAGTCCATGATTCTCTCTCATCATGGATGTTTCTCTCTCTCTCCCTCTCCCTTCATCTTTGAAATCAATAAAAATATATATTTTTTTAAAAAAACAACAAAAACAAAAACCTCCCAGCAGCTCTGAGGTGCCACGGTGCCCCGAGCGGGGGGCCACGCCGGGGATGCCTGAGAGCCTGGGGGGCCGGGGCCGGCCTCACCCTGCCGTCCGCACAGGTACCTGAGGCTGTCCAAGAACAACATCCGGACGCTGCTCAAGCTGTGCACGGACGCCGGGCTGGTGGTGGACATCCACCCCCACATGGTGGAAGCGGAGATAGACGCCAAGAAGGTGTTCGCCCCGTACCCCACCGTGGCCCTCTGAGCCGCCCCTCCCGCGGCCCCCCCGCCCCCGGGCTGGCTCTGCCCTGGGCCCTTAGGACCGTGTGACCTGCAAACAAGCCTCAGCTGCATGGACGGCGGTGCCCGGCGGCCTTTGTCCTCCTCCGACTCAGAACCGGCCCAGCAGCCGCGGCGCTCGCTCCCCCCGCCCTCCTCACGCAGGCTGCTGGGCGGGGGTGCTCAGCGGGCGCCAGGGGGCAGGCCCAGGGCCCCCACGCTGCAGGGGGACCGAGGGTGGGGGGCTGGGGGGGGGGGACATGCCCCACACGTGGCTCTGTGGGGAGCCGGCTCGCTCGTGTGTCCGGTGGGTGCCTGTCTGGGGCGGGGGCGGTGGCAGGGGGGCGGGGGGGTGGGGCGTGGGAGGAGACCCTGCCGGGTCCCACGGATGAGGAGCAGCAGGGCTGGACGGACCCGTGTCCTCATCTCGAGCCCTGATCTGCGTCTCGCATCCAGGAGGCCCGGGCAGATCCGAAGGCCCCTGCAGCCCCTGCAGACACGGCCCCATCCTGGAGCAGCTGCCCACGGGGGTTAGAAGCCCGGGCCCTCTGGGCCCTGCAAGCAGCTCAGGTAAGTGCGCGTCCGCCCCACTTGTCCGCCGCCCTCGGCGCCTGTTCCCTCGTCTGTGAAAGGGGCTGGTGGCCGTGCCTGCTGAGAGGGTGCTCTGGGAGGCACTGGGGTCGCTCCCGCAGGCCCTGGGGAGGACCCCCTGGGGAGGACCCCCTGGGAGGACCGGGAGCGGCCGCCCAGCCCCTGCTTCCTCCACGGGCCCCAGGAACCAGCGCGGCATTGTCGAGCCAAACCCTGTTGCGAAGCTGCTGCTGGCAAACCCGTGTCCCCTCACGCTGACCCCAGGTCACTGGTGAGCAGCCACTGGCCAGCTGGCCAGGTCTCTCTGCCTCCCAACACCCACAGCCCGGGGTCCCGCCTGCTTTCAAATGTCCGCTCCCCTGAGGCTCCAAGCCACCCTCAGGTACCGCCTCCACGGAGTCACTGCCTGGAGTCAGACGCGTGCGGCCCCCGCCCCGTCCCATCACCAACAGGGAGAGGGAGCCCTTAGAGGGGCAGCCGGTCAGACACGCGGGCGGGAGCTGGTACCTCTGCCATGTTCCAGCAGGGCCCCGGCCCGCCTCCTCACCCGCCAGCCTCCCCACCCGCCAGCCTCCCCACCCGCCAGCCTCCCCACCCGCCAGCCTCCTCAGCCACCAGCCTCCCCACCAGCCTCCCCACTCGCCAGCCTCCCCACCCGCCAGCCTCCTCAGCCACCAGCCTCCCCACTCGCCAGCCTCCCCACCCGCCAGCCTCCTCAGCCGCCAGCCTCCCCACCCACCAGCCTCTCCAGCCGCAAATGGCTGCGTGATGCTGGCTCTCCAATGAGTGCCTGGCCCTCCAGGAAAACGAACTCTTTAAAAGGGGGGAGGAGCCCAGCTGGTTGGCAAATAACATTCTGAAGTACCAGGGGGTGAGACCTTCCACAAAACCTTTGGGGGAGCACAATTCAACCCACAGCGCAGAGGCCAGATGTGAGAAGTTGGAGGCTCCACGAGAGGCAGGGAGGTCCCCCAAGACCCCTGAGTTCATGACAGTCGGCACTGGGACCCACACTCCTGACACCCTCCCTGCCCTGGTCCAGCTGCCTCCACTGCCCACACTGCCCGCTGAAATGGCCAGAATTTGGGCCAAGGCTGGTGGCCCCCGGAGGCTGGCCCGCCTGGCGCACTGCTCCAGTCCTCAGCCAGGGTCTCTGGGAGATTGTTGGGGAACCCAAGTCCCCAGTTCTGGGACTCATTCATCAGCACGCACCCCCTTTCCACAAGGTAGAGTCATTTTAGCCGGAGGTCCGCCCAGCCCCTGCTGAGCTGGATGCCACGGCTTCAAAGGGCTGCCCGGTGCTCCCTGACCCTCGGGGGGTGGGGGGTGGGGTATTGCTGTGGGAAGCACACCCCTCAGGCCCCGGGTTCTGCTGCCCAGCAGGTGGCAGGCCTCCTGGGCCCAGTGCAGACAGGAGAAGGGAAGGAGAGGACTTCAGAGGAGAGGCCACCTCACCCTACGGCCACAGGGATGCTCTGTGGTCAGAGGGTTTTCAGGTGCGGCCCCCACGGCATAGGGAGCCTCCGACTCAGCTTCCCGATGTTCTGGCCACAGGAGCCCACGGTGAGGCCCAAGGTCCACGGAGAAGTGTGAGGAAGGACTGTTCACCGGGGCCTGGGCAGACAGCACCTCCAGCATTTCCCACACACGGAAGTGACCTTGTGCATGTCCTGGTTATACTGCATCTTCTAAGACACTTATTAGCAGAAACACAGACAGACACACATGTACCGGTGCACCCGTGGCCCGTGGGGAAAAACCTTCTCAATAAATCAGCAGTCAGCCCTAGCTGGTGTGGCTCAGTGGGTAAAGTGTCAGACCGTGGACTGAAGGGTCCTGGGTTCGATTCCAGTCAAGGGCATGTACCCCGATTGCAGGCTCGATCCCCAGCCTTGGTTGGGGCGTGTGCAGAAGGCAAACATTCGATGTGTCTCTCTCACACGGATGTTTCTCTCTCTGTCCCTCCCCCTCCCGTCCACTCTCTCTAAAAATCAAGGGGAAAATATCCGCAGGTGAGGACTAACAACAAAAAAATAAGCGGGAGGTCAGGGAAATATCCAAGGGAAAAAGTATCCACCCTCCACTCTCACCGCACGCAAAGTCCATCCCAGGTGCACGCAGACCTCGAGAGCTTTTAAAAGAGACACCGCCTCCCCGGTGACGGCGGCTGAAACTGGGGGGCTGTCCATTTGGGGGTGCGAAGAGAGTGGATGGGCAAATTCCCATCACGAGAAAAAATCACGCTGTATCCCTGAAACGAATGTCATGTTATGTGTCCATTGTATCTCAGAAATAATTAAAATTTAAATGTAAAAAAACAGCTGTAACAGGAGCCTCCAAAGTGAGGCGATTCGGGCGTCCTCCGCAGCCGCAGTTCCCTCCAAGCGCCACCAGGTGGCGCCCGATCACAGCGGAAGATGCACCCACACAGGTGGGAGCCCGCGCGGGCCCAGCCCTCCGCCCAGCGAGGGGCCCCGGACCCCGGGCCGCCGCCAGCTCAGCCCAGAGCGGGCAGCAAAGCCCAGCTACTCACCCACCAGCTGAGGGCCTCTGGCCACTTCTCCGAGCTTCCATTCTTCCTCCAAACACAGGCACGAAATGCAATTTAAAACAACACGGAGGCATCGCTTTGCAGCTAATCGGGCTGGGAAACGTTAGGGAGCTGGGGGGCCCCCGAGGCCCGGACACGGGAGGGAGGCAGCCCTGCCTGTGGAAGCGGGGTCCCTGCGGCCGCCCCTGGCGATGTGACCGCAGGCGTCGCTGTGACGGGCAGGGTCACGCGGGGCGGGAGGGCTGTGGGGAGGTGCCAGAGCCAGGGAGCGGGGTGGGTGGGTAGCAGGGGTGCGGCCGACCCGGGAAGGTGATGGCAACCGCAGTTGTGGGAAGGCTGAAAGCAGGACGAGCTGCGGGTGCGACATGCAGGCGACATACGTGTGGCCAAGGTGCCACGTTGAGAAGAGTGCACGTTCATTAGGACGGCTGGGGCGGGCTGAGGAGGGAGGGGGAGGGGGGGAGGGAGAGAGAATGCGGACGAGAAGCCGGTTTTCGAGGGTTCCCGGGAGGAGGTCCAGGGAAAGGCCTGCGTCCAGCGCCCGGTGGCCACGCGGTCAGTCGCGCTCGGTGGGCCTCTGGGCGTGAGCGCCGGCTGAATGCTTTCTGGGCATCAGGCAAGGCCGCCCCTAACGAGCAAAACGACCCAGGACTGCCATCCTCGGGGCTGTCCTGGCCCCCAGCCCTGGGTGTGGAAGAAACGGCCCGTTTTCCTGTGGCCGAACCACGGTGAACCGGCGTCGCGCCCCCGGGGCGTGGGCTGGTGGGAATCCCTCCTCAGCCGTCCTGGGGCGTCCCTGGAGCAGGCCGTCCGGGTCCCCACCGGTCACTGCAGAGTCACGGCAGGTCGCAGCCCACAGAAGCCCGAAGGCCCCCGAAGATGGGCCGTGGCGCCGGGTCTGCACCAGGCGGCCCAAGGCTTCCTGCTGGGGCCCTGGCGGCCCTCCTGCCCCCGAGACACTGCCACCCCCTCGGGAAGGGCCCTCACAGCCCACTGGGCAGTCCTGAAGCCCCCTCGCTCCTCCTCCACCCCCTAAACGCCCCCCAATTCCCACCGGCTCCAGGCCAGCGGAGCCACTGAGCCTGCGGCGCCCGCCTCCCCCAGGACGCATTAGGCAGGCTCCGCTGGTCAGAGCGGGCGAGGCTGTGGGAAAGCTGCTCATGGGGCCTCCCGTCCCTGGAGGGGAGCAGCCATGGAGCCCCAGCTGCGGGAAGAACAAAGGGGCCGGGCAGCGCCCCTCTCCGCTCCCCGTGGTGGAAGGAGGCGCGGGAGGAGGGGGAGGGTGCTAGGAGACAGCTGGCAATGCCCCTGCTGGATCCGGCCTCAGGGCCTCGCCTCCTGCCCACGGAACCCGGCCCCGTCTGCCCACCTCTGGCACCTGCCTCCTGGGCCCCGTGCTCAAGTCCAGAATAAAATCCCCTTGCCCGGCCAGCGTGGGAGGCGACCTATGAACCAGGAGGTTAGGGTTCGATTCCCGGTCAGGGCACAGGCCCGGATTGCGGGCTCCATCCCCAATGGGGGGCGTGCAGGAGGCAGCCGGTCCCTGATTCTCTCTCATCGTTGATGTTTTTATACTTCTCTCCCCTTCCCATCCTCTCTCTGAAATCAATAAAAACATTAAAATTCCCCTTGGCCGTGGAGCTCAGGGGGACAGGCCTTGTCCCAGATCTGCTGACACGCCGGTAGGAGGCGAGGCCTCCGCTCACAGGCCCTGGGTGGCAAAGGGAGGTGGCCCGTGCACCCGGCTAGGAAGCTGCAGGGCCGGGCGTCAACCAGGGTGACCAGGAGGCTGGGCTCTCAGTCGCCCGTGGACTCGGACTCAGTCACCCTGCAGCAGGTCTTAC